TCCCGGCCTGTAACCTTCAGGGTCTGCATGCAGCAGTACGTGCGTAGCTGTGGGCTCCTCTTCGATCAGCTGCTGACTGTGCAGCGCTGCACAGCATGGTGCCACTGGTGCCAGACATGTCACGTGATTTTGTGAGGATGGGAGGATGACATGTTTGCAGTGACCCAAGCTGCCGTGAGCACAGCTCACCAAGGCTTTGCCCGGACACGGTGAGTCGTGGTGGCAGTGGCTGTGACCGTGGCCGACCGTATCTCCATTGACGTTAACTTTGGGCCTTGCCTGTGCAGGCCCGTGGGTAACATCGCAGGCCTTCGCTTGTCGTCCGGGACAACACGAACACCAGCAATGCCAGACGTCATCGCGCTTCGCACAATGATGGATGAGGATAAAGAGGCCAAGGGTGACAGAGAAGGCACCGTAGAGGCAACTGAAGATCATATCCAGGAAGTGGCCTTGTGACACAGCCAGCGCACCGAAAGTCCAGGTCGCTAAAAAGAGAAAAAGAGTAAAGGCTGCAGTTCTCAACTGAGCCTTGAAGGAGTGCTCATTGGCCAGCAGCGCAGGGTTGATGGGGACCCCAGGGCAGCCAGCAGGACATTGGCTCCCGCTGGGCGGAGCTGCCAGCACTCCAGGCTCGGCTGCTTGATGACAATGTGTGGGCACGTCGACGGCAGCCAGCCTGTGCTGCTCCTCCAGCATCTGTTTGAGCTCATACTTCTTTTCGGGGTGTCTGCGCAGCTGTATGAAGGTACAGAGGAAATAGATACAGGTCACCAGGACAATGAAGGCCACAGGGCCAAAGAAGGCCCCCAGGCTGGGCTCCCAGGCCATCCAGCAGCTGGAAAACACATTAAAACACCATTACTTTTACTACTTCAAATACTGATTTCCATACTACTACTACTACTACTACTGCTACTACTGTTCAATTACTACTACTACTACGACTACTGTTCAACTGCCATTACTACTACTACTACTACTACTACTAATAATAATAATCAACTACTACCACTACTAGCACTACTGCTATTGCTTCTGCAGCTGTAGCCACTAATGTTTCCACTACAGCTAACACAATTAATATAATTACGACTGTATCTTCTGCAGTGTACCAATGCTACTATTGGTGGTCCAAAACATTTATTTCCAGTGCATGTCATATAAGGATCAGCAACATCTGGATCAGACATTTTTGATATGAACCTTAAATGGAAACTATTTGCAAATTCACAATGTATTTGGATGATTTTTGATTATATCAATGTGCTACAAGTGGACACAGAATCACTGTTTCTAAGATAGAAATGCTAGTAAAAAAATAGGATACATATATGCAGTATATTCAATAAACACAGAAACATGGAGACAGCAGTAACAATTGTATATTCCAAACTGGATGAAGGGTCAAATGAAGGTTTCAAAAAATCCCAGGAGTGGAAAAAGACTTACTATGGTGCCTGCTCTCCACTTCCATAGTTGTCTATATTGACAGCTGCTGTGACACCACAGATGATGAGTGGCACCCCTCCACTGACTAAATAAAATCTGTGAGGGGACAGAAGGATAAACAGAGGTGTTTGGAAAATATTAAAAAAAGACACTTGAAAACCCTGTATTTTTACCTGTGGATTACACCAGCACACTGAGCGACTTTAAAGTCGTTTTAGGAATCAAACCGATGGAGGTGTCATAAAGTGATATTGTGCAGAGGGTGAAGCTCTTATCTGAAATTATCTCTCCTCTCCTCATCTCTAGGCTGTCTGTTGTCTCCCCCCCACTTTCTGTCCCGAAATACCCAACCACCAGTTGAACTTTTGAGCTTTTCTCCGTGTTTGTCTTCACACTCCGTGGGTGCAATCAAAACAACAGTTTGTCGTCTCCACCACAGACCTAGGTGTAAACTGTCTCACAAAAACAAACGAGTCTTCTGTAGCTATAGGCGTTTGTCAGCATTGATTACAGCCTCACGGACCATCTGCTGTTCATGGTAACGCTAGGCATGTGTAAAGGAAGCAGCTGGGTTTGGGCCAGAATACAGTACATACAGTACTATGTGTACATAAAACCTTGGACAGACTTAGCCTATTCCACATGCTGCTGGAGACATTTGAAATATAACCTCAAGTAAAAATTTGGTTTCTCATAAAATAGCAAGCAAGAATCAATGATATATTAACAACGCTGACATTGTTGGTCAATATGGTCCAATTAAATAATTATTTTAAAAAGAAATGCATTAAATAAAAAAGAAATGCATTAATTGTTTAATAAAAAAAGCAGATATTTGAATTAAATAAATACATTTTTAATCTGGTCATGGGCCAAAGTGGGGGGTTTGTAGGCTGGAAGTGGCCCCTGAGCCAGGAGTTTGGACACCCATGTTTTACATTAATGTGTTAACAACTGCACTGCACAATTACAATTGTTTTCAATTCTTTCATGTGAGGTTCCTCTGGGGCCTTAAAAGGTCCTTGGTTCGAGTCCTAGAGGAACTACATACTTAATAGCACCTCCTATGTGGCAGCCTGTGTGGGTTGCAAAGATTCACACTGTGAATTTCCCCATTGTGTGTATTAGTTCCTTATTCACTATAAGGGAACAATATATATCTCTGTCTCTTTCCAGTGGAACATTTTTCCAAGAGCTGCAGCCAAACAGAAGCAGACGATGTCAGAGAACACGGCGGCCACATACTGAGACAAACGTTCTCACTCACACGCCGTTAACAATTAACTTGTGAATCCTGCATGTTTATTGACTGTGGGAGGACAGTATAGAACATGCTAATTGAAAATGCGTCTTTACATTTGTGTTGCTAATCCTTAGCATCTTCCTCTCACCATCGCCATGATTCTTTGTCTTCATTGGACAAAACACTGTGCTACCTCCTACGTCCCCATGCCGAATTCGGACCGTTGTCACCAGTTAACCTCTCTTCTTCTACTTAATCTTGGCCTTCCTTCCTTTCAAATCTTCTTTCTCCTAATCTGTCCTCCGTCACACTGCAGCAGCTACAGCAGCAGTTCTGAAAATTCAATTAGAATCAAGATGTTTGTCCGCACCCGTTAGTAAAGAGTTGGAGGTGCCGGTGGAGGCATTACTTGTCTGTCACCGTCTCTGAGCGGAACAGTACCCTCAGGGACTCTTCTCCAACAGAAAGCCATTTACACAGCTGACAGCCCGATAAGCATAAATGAGAAGAGCTATGGACTTTAAATCGCTCCATGCTTTGTAACTCTCATTTCACCTTCTCTTCACTCGCAGAGGCCTCTGCAATTTTCCTAAAAATAGAAGTTTAAAAATGAGTGTTTACTTATGTCTTTAAAGGTGTTCCAGGCCACTCCTAAAACATACGTAACGTAAATTGCATAGAATTTACTTAAATACATGAGAAGTCAGATGGAAGCGTTTGTTTTTACACAACGAAGAATAAATCACTTTCAAATTGTCCCTTTCTCCAGGGGTCGCCACAGCGGTGGTCCGCAAAACCTTGGCATTTAAACCTTGAGATGGTGTCACACACCGACACGCTAGTACAGGCAACATTTTGCTTTGAGGTATTTTAAAAACACTGGAGTGCTGCTGTTTCAGAGCAGCAACCTGTGGCTGTCATACCCAAAGACTTTGATGTAATCACATCAGCAAAGGCATCTAATGTGTGCAGCCCATTACAGTGAAGCTCTTCTGATAAAGGTCAGCGTGACGTCTGCTGGATGTGCCATCAGATATGGTCAAGGGGAGAAGCAGGGGGGAAACAGGTAGATGAGAATGGATGATATCTTGGTTTTTGGACAAGGACGTGAGTGCTCATGCATCAGTGTGTTTATGTGTGTGTGTGTGTTTGTGGGTGTGTGTAGTGTTTGAAAAGAGGAATTGATTCGTCTACAGCTGTTAAGTCTCACTGCATGAGCCTGTCTGACAAGGAGCATTACAGTCAATCACTGTGGATCAACTTGAATTCAGCGCCACACCATTTCTCCGATTTATATCAGACAAATGATCCCGTTCACAAGAGAGGCATGATTGGGAAACGTGGAGGGCGCTCCGTATTAACTGCTACCAGAGTAACGCAGGTGCCAAGGGATTTGCCTTTCAAGGAAAGAGATGCTTATAAGTGGAAATGATACCACTTCACTATATATCTTGTTACCAAATCAGAAACTTGTTGTATTAAATGCAGTGACTACACGTGCTCTATATATTTCATATATTCCTTAATCTTTAGAACTAAACTCCAGTCTATGCACCACACTGAAATTTAGAGGGGTGATTCTAAAGAGTCTAAGAGAGATGTTTATTAGATTTACATTAGCGCATTCAGCAGACACTTTTATTCAAAGCGACTTACAAGAAGAAGATTAACAATCAAGCTACATAAAGGAACTCTTGAAGAGGAGACTGATATTTAGTCCTAACTGGGGTGGAGACAAGAGCAGAAGGAGAAGGGAGGTGCAAGGACAGGAGGTGCTCTGTAGCCGGGCCTGTTGCAGTAGTCGAGGTTTATAGTTCGAAATGTCAAATATTTTATTATTATAATTTTAATGACTGGAACGTGTTTCTCAGGCCTTTGAAGAGAAGAAGAAACCATCCAATAGAAACAGTGCTTGTCAAAGTTTTCAGAAAAATAATATTTATGTGTTGCAAAATAGCTTTTTCTGCGTGCATGAAAATACGTGAGTTCTAATTTGTCTTAGGAGTTTTCTTTTAATCACCCGTCTACTTGTCGTGAAACCTCCAGGAGTTTGTGTTTTGCTGCACTAATGAAAATATATGAACTCAAACGTTCTGACTTGTAACGTAGCTCACGGCAGAGTTCTTGTAAGTTCAGGTAATTACTTTTAGAAATATTAATTTGGAATGATGCCAAAGTGTTTTCTGCTTCGCGCTTCTCCAACATCCTTGTCCTTCTGATGTTCATTCTTCAAACCTCGCAGAGTAACAGAATATATATGTTAATAAATGAACATAAATTTAAAAAAGACGTGAAGAGTTGAGGATGAATTTAAACTCAGCACAGAGGCACACACACCACGAAATGTGTATTTGAGTGGGATTTAATAGAAAATGGGGAGCACGCCAGCCACATGTCCTCAGGGAGGGTGATTCACAGAATGGACATGGTCACCCCTGGCTTTCGGCAGAAAGTGTTGACAGGCTAAGTTTAAGCAATGTTTTATTACAAAAGAAATAAACCCCTACCATGTTTTACAACGGCAGCAAACAATTACCCTCCAGTCGGAATAATTTTTGCAACTCAGAGTTTTGTTCTTTTTTCCATACCCAATTTATCATCTTGCTACCTGTGGAGGATCGGAACAATTTTTGCGAAAAATGGCAAAACAACACAGTTAAAGCAACAAATACAGTTTAATTAAACAATCCAAGTTTGCTCCTGGGAGAACCCTGCACGAGAATTCCCATGTGTCTGGACTGTCTGGTTTAGTAGTTTATACTGTTCCAATACGCTGCAATAGTGAATTAATGTTAGTATTCTAATACAGTGGTTGTCAAACTTTTTCTACTCTGTACCACCTGAGAAAACACTGAGCTCTCTGAGTACCACCACGATGACCAACATTAGAATCTAGCAGCATAGGCCTTCCCTGTTAGCTTCCACCACAGGAGAGAGATGTTTAGAAATGTTTAGAAAGATGTTTATGTTTAAATGTTGTATTAATTGTGCATGGTATGTTTCAGTTGAAAATGTAAATGTGAAAATATGAATGTTCCCCGCGTACCACTTGAGAGCGCTCACGTACCACTCGTGGTACGCGTACCACAGTTTGAGAACCACTGTTCTAATAGATAGTAATGTCATGTAATGAGTAAAAAAGGATGAGGTTGAACTTTGTATGTACACCAACAGTCCATCAAACAACATATTAGATCTCATAATAAACCATAATCAAAAAACAATTAATTTTATTACAACAAATATCACTATTACTTTTTATTTTGAGGAACATTTTAGTAAATGATTTAAATCTTAGTAGTTTATTTTTTAACTTTACTTTCACCTTGTTAAAATACCTTAGAAAAAAGGAAATGTGTAACCTACTTAACATTGAGCCTTAACTAGTGAGCAATAATGCTAACTCATTTGCTATAATATACATTTGACATGTTCTCTTAACAAGTGAGATGGAACACTGTTGTATAATTGGTGTTGTCTGACAGACGGGTATGTTCCAGAATGGAAAGAAATAATGGCCCATCTGTCAGCTGTGCTACAGTACTTCCATGATAAAAATAAACAACCAGATCATTAAGAATAACCACGTCATACAGTAATACCTACTGTGGTAGAGCCAACGTGTCTGTGTTCATTTTAAAATCCAGTTTAGGTTTAAAAAACACAATAATCTGGAATAATGAAATGTGCTGTGGAAACACATGAAAACCCCACAACAACAGAACACAAGAACACTTAGCTCAAAGTTGACAGATGTCTGAGCTTACCTCAACAGGGGCTGCTTGGGGGCTGGAGGAGGGTCACCATCTTGGCTCTGCGGCGGCTTTTTGGTGACCTGTTTGTAAATGTTTCTTGCCGTCACCCCCAGCCACAGCATGGTGGACAGGGACGAGTAGTGCAGCACGACCCCTACCTGAGAAACACAAGGTCACAAAGAAAGACTTAGACTTTGGTAAACAAGAAAATGTTTGGTTTATGTGAATATATGTTTAGGTGCAGAAGTTTTTTTTTTTTTCTTTAACCGTAAGCAATGTCACTCCAAGGGTGTCATGACAGAGGTTTTACTTCAAAATGTATTTTGCTCCGCAAGACACGACTTGAAAAAACAGAAGGATTGAAAAAGCGCTATAGTATCATCAAGGTTGTCGAGGACAAGAGCAAACTGTGAAATAAGTTTATTTTCTGAGCAGCTTCCTTTCCGTCTTGTTAGAGGACACGAGGTGTGCCCAGAGAATAACAAATCAGACAATAAATGATATTTGGACTGGCATTGGTAGGGTTTTATTTTCTAAAATGCACTGCAAATATTGCATTTTTTTAATAATACCTGAGCTGGTAAGACCAGTCTTGAAATTAACAGTAGAATAGCAGTAGGATAATGAGAAGTAAAAGAAATAAATTAATAAGACATGGGGGATAAAAATTAAAATGCACCTCTTCTCTTATCAGTCATTTCATTCCTGAGGTACCTAATAGAATGGTCTCTCTGCAGCCTGATGGGTCTGGGGACCAGGCTGGTCTACCAGCGTCCAGATGCTAATTGGACATGTCCTTGAGCTGGTTATAGAGCAGAAGCAGGTAGTAATTCAATCACCGCTGCAGTCTCTGCAGAGCTTCATTAAAGCATGGACAGACAAAGAGAATGTGTGTTTGTAATATGGAAATTAGATCATGAACGGGGGGAGGAGGGGGGGTTAGTTGTTCTTCTAGGACCTGTATCACTTTCTATAACATACACGCTGCTCTTTGGGTTCCATCACAGGACATGTTTACTTGCCTGCAGCTGTAATATTAATTGGCTGTGCAGCGCATCAGCCGTAAAGGTGTTTTTATTTAGCTTTTTACTCATATTTTTATTATTACACTTAACCTTAAGCAACAGTCTCATTAATTTTACACAGGATTTTTTCCTCCCGTCATTCTGCCAATGGAATATACAGCAAAAGGAATGAGGGTTAAAGTGGATACAACAGTCACAAAGGAGCCGCAATAAGTCTCACAATCCTCTAATTACATTAGAATGCTAAGGCTTCTGTCGACTGCGACACACTTGGCCGTGCCTGTCTGTGTGTGGAAGTTTGCGGCCGTTAATTTGAACAAATATTCCAACATTTGAAGGTGATTTAATGTGATACTTAATGTCCTAAAGAATGTTGAGATATCAACTTTATTGCACTGATGCTCTATTGGCTTTGTTTGTTGTTGGCTTTTAGCTTGATGCACTCAATAGTCATCTGTGTAAAGTGCAAAGATGCAGCCAAACAAATGTTAGCAAATTTGGATATCCTTATGGGGTAGAAAGTAGAAAATAAGACAAATGACATGTTAAAGTCATGCATGAAGGTTAAAATGCTTTTATCTGTGCTATCAGAAGTATAAGGAAAATATAAATAAATTATGTAATTTGGAAAGGTTTGACGGGCCGGATTAAAAAAGGCTATAGGCCCCAGCCCCTGGGCCTTAGTTTTCCCATGCCTGGGTTAGATTGACTTATATTTGGAATGAAGACCAAAAAGAAACAGATTTCATTTTTCTCTTACACTATTTCTTACAATGAACACTGATGTAAAGAGATAGAGCGCCATGTTAAGAAAATTCCAGCTGTAAGAAACTAGAATAAAGACGGGGGTAATATTAATACCTGGTACAAAGAAAAAACAATAATTCACTGATGTTGTAAACAATTCTTCCAGTGATCTTTATGTTTATAACATAATACAAAATAGAGAGTAGCTCAACAGTTTTTTGGGGGTTTTCTGCTGATTAAATTGACACATCCTTCAGCAACAGACCTTGTCTGTAGCCAATGTCTCTCGGAGTTGGTGTAAAATATCATGTTGGAATGTGTCTGTGGAAGCTGCTGTGTTTTATCAAAGCACCATATTCACGTCCCTCCCTGCTGTCACACAAAGGGATTTTCCATTATATGAGTGCCTTACTGTTTTTCATGCATTAATAACTAGTCCACAGAACACTCTGACGTGCAGTAAATGAGCTCAGGATTCGCAACTTAAATTGGACCCAATGAAAGTACAAAGCAAATTACTGCAGATACTGCAGTGTCGAGAGCGTACTATATATTTGTCTGGATTCCTTTCTTTTTGCCAACATTTGCTGTTGCCACCAATTTGCCTAATGAGAACATCATATAGAATAGATATCATATTTAGCCCAACAGATGAATGTAATGTTATACAGAGGTCATATGAACAGCCACATTCTCTTAATTAATACTGTCATGATAGCAGGCCGCTCACTTCTGAGTGGAGTTTCCACTGGTTATCATAGGTTGAAGTTGGGTCGTGGAATAAGTGGAGACTCTAAACCACAGGTCTTAGACCAATCAGTTCTAATGAAGCTCTGTATTGACAACAACACAGTACAAGGACACAGCTCCTCCACCGGGGACATGAACGTCTGACTGGTAAGAATCTGTTTTTAATGATTTAATCACAATCACTGGACTGGCCGAAGAAACCCACGCTCACACCGGTACAACTCCATACACAAACACCAGGGAATGGTGTAACAAACCTATGATTTTCTTGGTGTAAAGCGTGCCAACACATGCTAACATGTATCATGTCATTAGGGCTATGGCAAAAAAACAAAATGGACCATGATCAATACTTACCTTAGGTGAGTCTTCTTTTTCATTATGGGGTGATTATGACTGTGAAGACAGACTATCGATGGCGTACCTCATATTTTTACCCAAGTCAGCTTACAGACATTAGGTTGAAATGATGCTTTACAAAGATGAAGAATTATTTTACACCTTCAAAAGATGGTGCACTACAAGGTTAGAAATCCATCATCGCTTTTGTATTTACGCTCGTTTGCCAAGGCTAATGCATGGATGTGTGGTTGAATTTAAGGACTCTAACTTTTAATAGCAACTACAGACATGAAAAGAGAACATGAACAACCTCAGAGGGCCACGGAGTGTAGATAAATATTAGTGATGAAGACGAGTGAACCATCAGGACTTATTGTGCCACCGCTTTTGTCAAAGAGACGCTCGGGTATAATGTCCACGCTGCTGACGCATGAAAGCTGCATAAGACTGTTCAACATCAACATCGGCAATCAGTGCTCTGGTTGCCAACACCTCAATAGAAAATCATAATCAATTTTCATGAAAAGCTTTGAGAGTGGTTCAAATGAAAAGGGAATGCACTTACTGCTTGACAGATGATGGGGTATTTGATTCGATTGATGCCGCCGGCAAACACAGCGAAGGTCAGAGCCGTGTGGAAACAGAAATTGAGAAGCATATGCCATCCCTTCCGACTGATGCGGATTGCACTGCCATGAAAGACCGAAAAAGAAAGAAAAAAAAGATTAGCATGTACATACATACCGTACAGTGTTGTACCACAGAAATTTAATTTTAAATTCAGTTTTCAAAAATACAATACTGTTTGGCCTATTACACCAGGTTTAGACAACCTTTTAAAGGGCATAAGAAATGCTTCATAAATGCTCTTATTTCTCCTGCCTTCTTGATCAAGAACTGCAGAGCATGAAAATAACAAAGTCTGAACATTACGAACAAGGAGAATCTACTGCACTGCCAATGCATATGCTGAACAAACAAGACCTTTAAGTAAAATGAAAATGCAACTGGCACAACTATATAGGCAAAGCAATAACAGATTTAAGACAGTGCGGTGAGAAATAAAGCAAAATGTATTCATCTAAGTGAAACCCGTTTACCTGAGTGTCAGCTCTGGAGATTGGCTTTTTGTGTTGTACCAATAAAGTGTAACAAACCTTCATTGAAATAAATGAACATTGACACTAATCTAAACACATTTACTTTAAATGAAAAAAGGGTCCTGTCTTCATGACATTGTAGAATATTTTATGTAAAAGGCAGAAAATAGTAAAATTAATATAGTGACAATGAAATATTCCAGTACATCTGTAGATTTCTTCAAAAATAATTTAAAAAAATTACAATTAATTTTACCTTTTACCTGAATGCTATAGACTAAAAGGTATTTTTTGAAGGTAGTCTTATATAAATATACTCACAAGTCAACAATTCTGTTGTTATGTTGAACATAAACATGGATACTAATATCTACAACCCAACAAATACACAGGCACAGGCATGTTGGAGAAAACATAAGCTGCTCCACAGTCAGTGGTCACGCTTGTCTGACGTTCCTCTTCATGATGTGTCATTTGGCATTTAAACAAAGAGACAGACGTTGAATGGCAACACATCTATATATATCTTTGAAGCTTCACTGAAGTATATGTGGCTTCTGGAATAAAGTCTTTGTCTTGATATTGTCATGTTTCTTCAAAATACCAAACAACTCCCTACCTGCTAGGCTAACTGATCCATTTTAGGCTAACTGATCTTTCCTAGGTTAACTGACCCATGCTTGAAAAGTAAAGGTCTGTCTGTGAAAACACATGAGAAAAAATATCCCTTTTACCTTTGGTCTGTTTTAATTTTAACCTTCAACCTTGCACGGCTGATTTTCCTTTTCTGGAAATGGATTTCATAAAATTTCATAAATAAAATTGCACATGTTTTTCTTAATGTCCAAGAGGAATAACATTCAAGCAACAAGCTTGCTCCATAACAAAACAGTGTTGCATTATTTTAACAATCTTTTTGAACATCTGTTTCCTCGCTCTAACACATACAGCGATGCATGCATGCATTTAAACCATGTTTCATACATAATGAAATAAAGAGGGTGTTTCCATTTGACCTGGTTAATTGAAGTTTCCACAGTGTAAAACTATGCACTAATATCTATGTGCTGTGTGAAATATAACACAGGCTGAAGGCATTAAGCAGCCTTGAGCAGAGCACTTAACCCATATTACCACCTTCCATCCAGTTATAGCATAAATAGGTCAGGCAATATCAATGCATAATGCTGTTCTGCTTGAATTAACAGACCATAGATTTGTTTAATTACAGACCTGTGCCATCTCTATCCTTTTAATCTGTACAGTCACTGTCACCATTTGAAATTATATAACACTGTGCTGGAAAGCTCCGCTCCCCAAAATGGAGGAGAGGAGCCCCGGCTGCACGTGAGCCAACTGTAGATGAAGCAGTGGTGCAGCAGTGAGCTATGAGGCATGTCTGGGGCTGGGCTTCGCTGCCCTGTCTAAGGAAAAAGGAGAGTTAAGGCTGCTGTTGTGGTTGCTTCTGATGCGGCCCAGGCACTAAACTGCATCTAGCAAAGAGGCCATAAATCAGGCCGGCTTTGGACCTCCATGGAGGGGGTTTTCATATTCTCTGCACTGAGATTTCATTGGGTCAAGTACATTAACCTGGCAACCCTCCACGTCCTGATCTCCCAGAGGGTAGAGGGAATAAAACTGTCCTCCCTTTGCATCTGTTTTCTCCCCCCACAACCGCTGTGGAGCAAACTTCATGGGACAGTAATACAGCGGTATAGCAGTATAAAAGACGCGTTATACAACGAGGTCCAGTGATTTTACTAGTGGACACAGGAAACCAGCTGAAAACGACCACTAAACCTCAGTAGCTGCTACAGTATTACTGGGGAGCTGGTCGGATGCTAATTTTGATGGAGAGCATAGAGGCAGCAGCATTGCAGTAGTGCCTGGCTGTATAACTGGAATCAATACCATGTTATTTCTGAGTTCATTATAGGTGGAGCGCCACCACAGCCACAAAATCATAAAACCTATGTCCCGCGTAATGGAATAGTTTCCACTGAGCCACATAACTGCAGGTTTTGCTGCAGAAACAATATTATGGTATAAATGTTTGTCACTTAACTGCACCACTGTACACATGATGAACATATAAACATAAAAGCTGCTCTTTTACTGTCCTCAGTGATAATCTGAACTGTAACAGAAGCAGTTTAGACGTGTCGTTTGTTCAGGGCAGTCACATTGTTTCTGTTTGTCTTAGCCCATTCTGGCTGCCGCCTAAACTTTGCTTAGAATGCAGCCCGTTCACTACATAGCCATTTTCAGGACCTTCGTATCCAGATCTTAATCATTATTAATAAGCCCGTTTCACACCGAGCCAAAGACTGAGACTCAGAGGGAGCAGCATTAAGAGCCAAGCCTTAGGACACGTCTAGCATTATTAAGACGACTCAGCAGAAGCTTCCAAAGAGATCAGTGTTTGTGTCTCTAATGGAGTTCTCCGGGTTCATCCAAATATTCGACCAATGAAAGTACAGCCCCATTTACACCACCATGAAAAACGGTGTGACAGTGAGTGTGACAGTCATTACACTAGGTGTCCAGCTCTTTGATGATGATGCAGTTACAGAGTGAAGTATTAAGAGGAACATGTTAAAAGCTGAAAATCATAGTCTGAAAATCTGACTGCTCTGTAACAGACAAACTGCTCCAGAAAAACTCCAGAAGAACGTTGGAATAGATGATGTCCTTTTCTCCCCAGTGACAGACCTCGGTGACCTTAATTTACACATTTTCTTTCAGTCACGGTTAACTCATAGTTACTGGATGACTTGTTTTGACCAGTGTATAGTATTGGACCGATACCGGTCCTAAGTTGGTGACGTTCACACAAATAATTAAATTTATGTTACACGATACATGACATTAAGAACACGAATAATAAACCTGAGATCAATGGTGAAGATTTGCTCTCACAGAAATTGAAGGTACCACGGTTTGGTCATCAGTCCTCCTGTCTTTGCTGCTTTTATTCAGTAGAGTTAAAAGGGAAACCAGGGTGACATCGGAGATGTGCTTTCTGAACTCCATCCTTTATTCACTTGAATCTGTTTATCCTCGCATGTATCCACACTCAGTGTTCATTTTATACCAACATTTCCACCTCCCTGAGGCTTTAAAAGTTTTATCATCTCTAATGATAGTCATTGCTACAGACCTATAAATCACATCTCATCTTCGCTTACCTTGCCGGCTGACAGAGTACCAGCAGCGTGTGCCATATTTTTATGAACGTGTTGCATGTGTTAGTGACCCGAAATTGAAAATTTAATCAAGCTCGGTACTATCCCCTGAGCAGCAGCAGCAGCTATTTTACCCTTTTAACACACAGTCCCGGCACTTCACAGCTTGGATACTGTCAGTCATCTGGAGTGATACTACACAACTAGCATTATTAGATAGAGTTGTGTTTCAGAGCTGGAGAGGATGTGAGGATGAGATGTGAGAGCAGAATTCTCTGACTTTCTATTTCCAGCTGCACAAAATCTTCCCGCAGAATGAACCATCCAGCTGTCAACGCTGAGATAAACAGCTGAATAAGGCCAGTTCTGCAGGTAAAGGTGAAGACCTATAAATTCACATACATCTTTTTTTAAAAACAGAGGTTATTAAAAAGAAAACGTTAAAATTAAAATTCTTTCAACATGTATTTTTCATTGACTTCTATCATCTACTATCTGCCAACGAGACCCTAATTTGCAGAACTTCCTTTTCTATTTGAGGAAAGCCAAACTTTGCATGTGGGGCCATAATGCTCCAGGAGTGTACCCATACTCTGACTGAGATGAGAGGGAGACTTACTCAAAGGCTTATATATATTTTAGCTGAGTGTAGCAGAAGTGAGCGAGAAGCATGAGTGAGCAGAGTGCTGAGTCAGTTCTTTTAAGGTTGTGTGTTCTTTTTTTTTTATTGCTAATGTTCTGCTGAAGTTTTGCTTCACAATCTACCAAAACCAAATGTCTGACTCAAGCCCGCAATCTTTGACTTTTTCTCTTTTATATACAGTAGGTGATCTTTAATCAAAGAGGAAGAGGTTCAGTGGCTAGCTGAGCTACGCTAATGACCAAACTTGGCACTCACTCACACAAAACAAATGACTAAAAAGAACAGAAACAGATTACTGAACAATATCCAGGTTCAACTATTATATAACACATGCAACACATTTAATTGGAAGCTGTGCAATCTTGGCGTAGTGCAATATTTCTTTTTTTTTCAACATGGTTTTTATTTGCCACTGACTTTTACCATTATCTTAATCTGTTAACAGTAAAAGACAAAAAAAAGTGGTAAAATAATCTTGTCATATTTGTGTTTTTCAATGTTGTGGTCACAACCCCTGCGGGGTCACCTGGAATCCTAACGAGGTCGCCTGAATTGTCTAGTAATTGATAAAAAAATACTGTTAAAATATTAAGTATTCAACTTTTTAAAAATCTGATTCAGAACACAACACACTGTCTCAAACAACTGTATTCTTTCATTTTCATAAATATAATATATATATAAATATATATAAATATATATATACAGTCTATATATATATAGAGAGAGAGTCTTCATTAATCATTCTCAAATTCAGTCAGTGCTGCAATGCTAGGCAACAGGGAGATACTTCATCAACACTGTCTGTCTGCAGGACAACCAACCCCCCCGTCTTTTGACTTAGTATCAAAAATATAAACCATAAATGCGGCTGTACCTCCACAGTGTTTGACAAATGTAGCGTTCAAGGCACAGACAGTACAAAGAAAAACAAATAAAACGGAAGATTCAAGTCTGAAATAAAATTTTCATAATATCTTTTCAGTGAACATGTGAAATCTGACATGGCATCCATTATATTTTCCATTAAAAGGATGCCGACCCATTACAGTAATACCATCCTAATACTAGATTTATAATAAAGAAACTACTGTGAAGGGAAAACAACAGATAATAAATTGGTGTGTTGCACTTTTACAACAGCATATGAAGCAGATAAACCCACAGTAAATGGAGAAGATAAATACCAGAGTGCACAAGCACAAATGTCCCAGAGTGCATTTATTGTCCTCCTCCCCATAGGAATAAAATGAACAAATGTGCCATAAGCCCCCATGGAAATCCATTAAAGCGTGCACTTCTGCTGTCTGAACACATGTACACAAACACCCGTCTGTATGTGAGCTTCAGATGCTCCTGGTCAAACGCTCTGAAGTGCTTCACAGCAGCTTCAAGCAAATGGCAGGAGGTAAAGAAAAGACAACTGATATTAAATTGAATTAGCATTTCACTGAGGGTCGGAGAACTAAAGTCTGACGTTTAAATCAGATTTACACACAGTGTGCTGCCGCGTGCAGTGCAGACGCTCTTATTGTCCTACCTGTGGTGCACAATGTACGTGATGATGGAAGCGAAGAGGCAGAGCAACATGACCGCCGTGCAGGCATACACGACTGGGTGCAAAAACTCCCCAGGATATGGGGGGAAAGAAAGCACCTTCTTCAGATCCTGGGGCAGAGGAGAAAGAGAGGAGACACAGAGTTAAGACAAGAGTCATCATTAAACTGTAGCATGACCAAAGCTAGGAGGAACAGAACCAGATCTGCATATTTATGGCATGTCTGATGGCAACATAAAAATGAAATGTTCCCTCCACGTGTACAGGGAGAATATTCAGCCATAGGAGATAAGGACGTGGAATTTAAATGAATTTCAAGGAAATGGCCCTGGGTTTGAAAGTCAAAGCGGGCAGAGAAGAGGAGCAGCTCTGTCAGGTGGGTATCGTACTCCTGCATTCACTCACTTCCCAGCATTATATAAAAATCCTTCCTTTAGTCCCAAAACTGAAGGAACAGGACATAAAAAGAAGAAGAATAAAACAAAGTAACACCTAGAACAATCTCAAACTGTTGGCCCGGGGGCCACTCCAGGGGCCATTCCAGGAGGAACACACACAAAAAGCTACTCAAAGCCAATGTTTGTAATGGTGATTTGTGCACACTGTTTTGGACAGATCGACAGAAGTCCTCACTGTTTATGTTTATGTCAAGCTTCTAGCATAAACTTCTGATCCTTCGTAAAAGCAGACCCTCTACGCGCCCTGTGGGCAACATCAGTGTTATGGGTATCGTCCACTCGTAACTACAAGACTGGACAAATGTAACCACTCATTAACATATTGACAAAAATAATACTCTTCATTGATTAGTGTTTAAAACACTACTGCAGAAAATATAAATTAACAAATGTCGAAACACAACCCTGCAGGGGGCACTCGTAATTTATAAAAAATGCCAAGCATGTTACAAAGTCACAATTTGAAGAGTACTTACATTTGCTAACACATTAGATACATTGCTACATATATACCAAGAAATGCCTTTAATTTACTTTTAAATTAGGTTTTCTTGACAGACAATTACAACAGCTTGATTGACCCAATCTGGCCCCTCAGCCTTGAGTTTGACACAGCCACTCTATGACATGACTATTGATGCACTCCCATATTATTACATGTTGACCTTTGCACCTTAGGCTCCTCCATTTTTTTCTTGTGCATCTTTTGTTTTAATATATTTCTTTCATTCACAGTGGCCCTCAAGAAGAACTGCAAAAGAAAAAAAATTTAAAAAGCCTGAAAAAGTGTAACTTTTTGTAGAAATCCTGCTCTTGACCTTGACACACAGATTGTCATTGTGATCCCCTGGATTTTCTCACATTGTTTGAAACTTTAGAGTCTATTTCTATTTTCAGATGACCCTAGGCCATTTTCACATTGAAATACATCTGTCTGAGAAACAGATAATTCCCACAGGGAGAATTTGCCTATTCGTTGTCCTCGTAGAGTTTGCAGAAATAAAATAAGGTCATCAGAGTTAACCCCAAAAAATCAATATATTTTAGCCATTCTGCACTGGTGAAACTCATTCACTTCCTGTGCGTTCAACCGCCCTGTCTGTGCTCTGCGATGTGGGCAGGTGTGCATCCCACGGCAACGTCAAATTTATACTCCACCGTGTTGACTTGAATATGGCTCTCCTTATCACAACAGTCCCTGCAGCTCTGTGCAGGGCTGTGTCAGTCTGAGTATATCATTGTCTTGTTGAGTGGCCAAGCGGGAGATTCTCTGTCCGATGTTTATGCCGCGGCTGACGAGCCTGTCGGGGTCTGCGAAAGGTCATGACCTTAAACAGAGTATTTAGAAGCTGGGCTGTAAAGCAGTGGCCTAAAATTAAAAAGAATGATTTGGGGAATTGGACACTGGGGAGATGTAAAACAGCAGAATGTGTGGTGGAGACACCCAGTGCAGAACTCATTACATTTTCTAACAGCATATTCATGCATTCTCTCTCATGGTCGTTCCTTTTTACTATTTTTCCGGAAAGACATTTTGTTAAATCTTGAAGCCTATTTTGTCATAAATGTCTCGATCGACTGCATAAATATGAAGTCACTCATTTTTTTGTCCATCAATTTTCTATATTCGTAAATAATGTATCACACAAAAGAGCAAAAAGTTACTAGTACAAATCTTCTTATTCTTAAATGACAAACTATCTTTGTTTGTATTTTTATTGAAAAAAAACACAAAAAACAAATAAATAAATAAATAAAAATGCCATAGGGTAAAATTATTGTTGAGTCACAGACCTCTCATGACAAGTCTGTGGACTGGAAGTGGCCCCTGGGCCGAAGTTTGAGATCACAGCTTTAAGCTGATGTACAAAGTGAAAAAGGGAACTCAACCTTTATGAAAGATTAGAAAATCAAAATTTAAACCAGAAAATCTCAAGTATCCAAGGGTCAAAACAAAACACTACAGTTGAAATAAGTCGCTGTCTTGGTTAAACCACATTACACCGAGACGTATTTAACCGGTTGGATGTGAGGCCACGTGATGAGTGACAGCAGCTAGAGTTAAACGACATGAAGTGTGAGGGAGAAGCCAAACGTTCTCCTGGGACTTATTACCATCACCACGGGGCTTATAATGCTGAGTGAGAATTGCTTTAAACACTTCTGTCCTGACAAACGTGTGTTTACGTTTAGGAGATTGTGTGTGTGTGTGTGAGTGTGTACACTAAGCTGGGTTTTTCAATATTCACAAAACACCATGCATCTTAATGGGTTTATTCAGGAACCCACACAGTGTTTATTACACAAAGACACACAATGGCATTCAGTGCACAATAGTCACAAAAAAACACTTGAGAAACCAATTACGAATAAATCAGATTTGATGGTTTATTTTTCTACTCTCCTTTCCTCTAAAACACTTCGAGGGTCACTGTGAAGGACTGCACTTTCAGTGTTTGAATTACTGCTGTCAAAATGACATCACGGTAATCACCATCGCCAACATGAAATCAATACGATTGAAATTTTATATATATATTTAGTAATAAGGGAGTTTTTTAGAGGGCCGGAACGATTACTTTTTTCCCTGTTATTTCTAATAGGAAGAAAATGATTCGAGACACGAGGTTCCATTGTATGTCCAATATTTCCATCGTCCATCGGCTTATCATTGCACTGATACACAGTGGATATGTATGTTATCCTCAGGCTTAAAATACCACCTCAGTGCCCTGCATGTTTTTGTGGAAGCTTCAACTTCACAGCAGCCTCATTGAGTGCAGGACAGTGAGTACTATGACTGACAAAGTGACTGACACATTTGCCAAATGGATGGCAAGATCATTATAATAGGGTATTTTCAAGACTCTCAATAAGAAAATCCAACCAATGATTTATTTAAGAAATCCTTATAAAGAATTCTAGTGGATGCAAATGAAGGGCAAAGGAAAACAGAGGACAGGGAAAAATAAATGAAAGAAATGTTGGGGTGGAGAAAAAGGCATGATGAAAGTTGTCATTATTTAGCAGTTGGCTTAACCCAAGGTAGGAGTGACGCCGACCGACAGCAGGGAAATCATCGTCCCCTGGGAGCAGCACAGATGAGATCAACACCATCACAGCATCTTCAAAAAGCCGTAAACCTCATAAACAAGCTGCAACGCTCCGATCACTGCTGCTATTGTCGCATTAGTCGTTTTATTAGAGGAAGGTACCGATCAACCACTGCATGTTACCGCCTCACCTGACTGCAACAGTCTGGGGTTTGATAATAGAAGCCTTTCCCCTGCATCACTGATGCCAAGTGTTCTTTGAACATTTTACCAGATTCTGCCACAATGTTTTTTTACTCTCCGCATCCAACCGTTAAATTTCTTTTGGTTTGTTTCCCACGGCCTGTAAGAGAGGTGCAGTTTTCAGAAGCCAAAGTCTGGTGTTTTTTGTTTTTCTTTGCAATTATTTGAAGTAGTTCAAAGAAAATAGCTCTTTTATTTTGATACACACACAGAAAGAAAAGTTTGTCTATGTAGCAGTTATGAACCGTTTTCCTCAAACAATCACACTACGCTGGCTGTGCACCTCTTCTGATAACAGTCTTTTTCATCTTTGCCATAAAGGATCCAGAATGTTCCCCTCTTTCAAAAAAAAAATAGAAAGATAAGTGAAACATTGACTCATCTGACAACACAACACATTACCATTGGCTCTCGATCCATCTGAGATGAGCCCAGATCATAAAAACACACAACAAAATTGATGTAGGGCGTCCTGTTGTCCTGATACAATCTGAAGGAGACATTTTGGGATTAAGTGACAACGGTGCAAAGAAAATGTGGCCGTCTGTCAAACTGGCATCCGAGTTTCTACTGCATCACAACCTCAGGGCTTCAAGGTCAGCAGCAGTGGTTTCTGCCTCTGGCATGTCCACACAGAGACTTGTCCAGACTCTGAAAACAATTATCTCTTCAGATCCAGCACAACACGGTGAACCATTATTGACTCTTTGATTAACAATCCTGATAACATGGGTAAACCTGTAACATGGTGAACCTTTGAGACCTTATTTAAGGTCACGTATATTTTATGAAATTGAAAATTTTTCATTCATCTATAGATAGATAGATAGATAGATAGATTCATACAAAGTACAGTATATATGTACATATATAGTTATGTACATAACTGGAACATCAAATGTGACCCTCCAACATTTTTGCTGTTGTTCTCCATCACAGCTTTGCAGCTACTTTATTACTCCAGCTAGAGACACAGCGTCCTAACTAACCTTATGACAGTTCAATTCATTACAGCCAGGAAGCACGATTACCATAACAGGCCAATTTAGCCTAGCCTACATTGGATTAGAAGTGGCAGGTTATGTCTTCACATGCCTCCGCTGTTCTCAATCATCTGCAGCTAAACAGGCCTCTAATCCCCCTTTCGCATTTGTTGCCATTTCATTCCAAGATCCCGCCTGCCCTGAGCCAAAAATCAGATTAGCAAAGTCAATTAAACTTGCTCTATAATCTCAGCGTGGAGACACAGTGTTTGTAAGGTTATGAGGAAGGCAGAATGAAGGGGAACTTCCAGTCTCAGTGTTGATGTGTTGACCCACTAATTCAACATGATGATAAATCGAGGAACCCACAGGG